GGTAGGGGGAGGGGAGATTTTGAAGCTTGTGAAATCCACATTGATACCATTGGGCTGCAGGGTTCCCAAGCGGAATATGAGTTGCTGTTCGTGCAACCTTCGGGTGGCATCGTTGTGGCACTGCAGGAGGCCCAGGATGGACATGTCGTCTGAGGAATGGGAGGGGGAGTTGAAATGGTTCGCGACTGGGAGGTGCAGTTGTTTATTGCGAACCGAGCGTAGGTGTTCTGCAAAGCGGTCCCCGAGCCTCCGCTTGGTTTCCCCAATGTAAAGGAGGCCACAACGGGTACAGCGGATACAGTATACCTCATTAGCAGATGTGCAGGTGAACATCTGCTTGATGTGGAAAGTCGTCTTGGAGCCTGGGATGGGGGTGAGGGAGGAGGTATGGGGGCAGGTGTAGCACTTCCTGCGGTTGCAGGGAAAAGTGCCGGGTGTGGTGGAGCTGGAGGGGAGTGTGGAGCGGACAAGGGAGCCACGGAGAGAGTGGTCCCTCCGGAAAGCAGATCAGGGTGGGGAGGGAAAGATGTCTTTGGTGGTGGGGTCGGATTGCAGATGACGGAAGTGTTGGAGGATTATGCGTTGGATCCGGAGGTTGGTGGGGTGGTACATGAGGATGAGGGGGATTCTTTTTTAGTTGTTATTGCGGGGAGGGGGTGTGAGGGATGAGTTGTGGGAGACGCGGTTGAGGGTGTTCTCGACCACTGAGGGGGGGAGGTTGCGGACCTATCCCCACCTACACTCCCCTTTTACTGGCTCCAGCCCCGCCTCTTCGACCTGTCTGTTTCCTCTCCACCTATCTTCTCCTCTATCCATCTTCTATCCACCTCCCCCTCTCTCCCTATTTATTTCAGAACCCCCTTCCCCTCCCCCAGTTCTGATGAAGGGTCTAGGCCCGAAACGTCAGCCTTTCTGCTCCTATGATGCTGCTTGGCCTGCTGTGTTCAGGCATTTATTACAATTAACTATTACATATGAACATTACATTCCTCACGTACATAGTGCCTGGGATAATATTAACCTATTAGCATATTTCAGAAGAGCATGCTTCCAGTTGTGTCATGCAGATTGAGGTAAGATGGAATATGAGATCTTTATTTTCTGGTCACATGCTATATAACAATGAAGATGTCACAAGAATGTTGCTTGAAGACAAACTGACCTTGAGATGCAACACAACTGAAAGTCAGGTTGGAAACTTAAGGGGGTTCCAGAGCTTCGGATCTTGGCAGCTGAAGGCACAAACACCAATTGTGCTGCAGTTAAAATTGGTGATAATCAGAAGAGCATAATTGGAGGAGCACAGAGATCTGAGGGTTGCGGGGCTGGAGGGAGGTGAAACATAGCAAGATTAATGTTGACTGGGGGCGGCGGGGGACACATTGTTGGGTAGCACAGACAATGATGATGTGTACAAAGAACTTGTGTCTAAACCTGTAACAAGGCAACAGGGTTTTGAATGACCCCCAAGGTTGCAGAGCAACATGTGGGCCAGCCACAAGTGGGTTGAAATAGTGGAGTCTCGAGGTAATGGGCAAGAATTAGAAGAGAAGTAAAGTGCAGTGCAGAGAAATGCGTCAAAAACTCAAGCTATTGAGATCAGCAGTGCAAGCAGTTTACAATTTGACACTTGAAGGTAGCACCGTTTTTGTTTCAATTAATTTTGAATGCAAGAATTGTACAACAATAAGACAATGAGAAACAGGAACAGGAATGGGCCGTTTGGCTCCTTGAGCCTGCTCCATCGTTCAACGGGGTCATGGTGGATCTGACATTCCTCATGTCCACTTTCCTGCCCTTTTTCCCCATAAACATTGATTTCCCCAGCTGATCAAGAATCTATTTATCTCAGTCTTAAATATAGATAAGGAATCTGTCCCCACAGCTCTCATTAATTTACAGGAGAATGCTTTTAAGTTTGGAGGAAGAGTTTGGGAGTGCCTGGCTTGCTGTACCTTTGGTAACAGTGCGAGAACTTCTACTACCACACCGTGTTGTTAGTACTCATACAGTATTGACCGAGCACCATCTAAAGTAAAGCAGGTGTTACTACAGTGCAGAACATCATTGTCCAGTGTTGGTTCAATATTGTCAGCTTAGAGCACCATCCAGTGGTGAAAACCTGTGAACGTACCTTCATTTCTTTTCAAATCTCTATATACGTATGGCCAAAGTGAAGTCTTAGATTCATACAGCACAGAAAACGACCCTTCGGTCCAACCAGTCCATGACAAACATAATCCCAAACTAAACTAGTCCCACTATCCCTAATCAATTTCTGCCTCTCTAAATGTCTATAAATTCTATAATTACCTCCAACAATTTACCCACAACCAAAGTCAGACTCACAACTCTATAGTTCTGATTTCTCCTTCCAACATTTCTTAAACAAAGGTACAACATTTGCCACCCTCCAGTCATCAGACACCTTGTGTAGTTATAGATGATGGAAATATTTCTGCAAGGGGTCTTGTAATTTCCTCCCTTACTTCCCACAGCATCCTGGGATACATTAGAAATATTATGCACCAGTAGAAAAATTTTTAGGGGTGAATATACTATTTACAATTTTTTCTGTGTGCGCGAGATGTAGTTGCGTTTGAGGAAGTTAGGATGCTCCCTAGATAGTTTTCAGAGATGAGGGATTAGTCTTGTAACGAAAGATTGAGCAGTTTGGGCCTAAACTCTGGCGTTTAGAAGACATCAAGGAGACCTAACTGAGGTATATAAGATGCTAAAGAGGATTAAAATTGTAGATGTAGAGCAGATGTTTTCTGTTGGAGCAATCTAGAACAAAAGGTCACACTTTAGATTAGGTGGGTTAAACATGGGCAATACAGGAGTAGGGGAACGGGTCTGGGTGGGATGATCTTCGTAGGGGTGGTTTGGGCTGAATGGCCTGTTTCCACACTGTAGGGATTCTGATCTATGATCTATGAGTTTGATGACATGGAATAGCAGATTTAAGGATTGAGGACTTATTTCTCTCAAAGGGTCATGAATCAGTGGAATTCACTGTCCCAGAGTGGGTGGACATTGAGTAAATTTGAGTAGGAGATAGACAGACAGATTTTTAATAAGTGGTAGGTTGAAGGGTTATGGAGAGGCAGAACTCATGGCCAAAACTCCATGATTGATATCATCTTGGCCTCAACTCCATTTTTCTGAGAAAGGGTGACTGGACCTGAAACGTTAACTCTGCTTTCTCTTCTCAGATGCTGCCAGATTTGCTGAGCTTTTCCAGCAATTTGTTTTTGTTTCTGATTATCGACCATGGATAGTATTAAATAGTGGAGTGAGCTCAAGGGGCTGAATTGCTGACTCTTGCTCCTAGTTCTTGTATTCCTACGTGCGTGTTCAGTAGGAAAAATGCTGATTAGGTATCAGCCATGGTTCAATAGGTAGTCAGTCCTCTCACCTTTGGAGTCAGGTAGATAGGTACATCCACAGTGCTGTTAGGGAGGGAGTTCTGCATTTTGACTCAGTGACATTGAAGAGATGGTGACTAGCTTGGAGGGAAGCTTGAAAGTGGTGGGTTTTCTGTATCTGCTGCCTTTGCCCCTTTAGATTGCAGAGAGTGCAGGCATAGGTGATGCTATCGATGGAGTCTTGGTGAGTTGTAGCAGTGTGTTGTGGGTAAATCACCACAAGTTACCTTTTAATTCAGCTACTTAGTAAGAAACTCAAGGCAATCAAGTACTAAAACAATGATTTTAAACTTTATTATATGTAGCAACCAAAGTAAGACCAGCAAGTTAAGTCCCTCAACCCAACCTGGCTATTACCCGAATAATGGTGGCACTTGTCCACA